TGGAACAGCAGTTGAAAACTACAAAAGATGTTTGGAAAATGCCGACGAGAATAACGTCAAAATGATGGTTTATTTTTGTCTTGGTAACGCTTACACCCTCTGTGATAATTGGGAGGAAGGATTGAACAGTTTTAATCATTGCTTAAAGTTTTCGTCTAAAGTTGAAAGTGAATATTTTGAACATCAAGTATACCTTGGCCTGGGGAGTGTTCATTCTACCATTAAAAGGATGGAGGAAGCCATGAAGAAAGGTGAGATGGAATGTCTCTGCCATATTGCATTGGGAGGATTGAATAAGTTGCTTGAAAATTATGAGCAATCTTTGGACCATTATAGAAAAGGATTCTCTCTTATTGAATCTCAACAGCAACAACATGAACAGCATCATCAACCACAACGACAAAGAAAAGTTGGTGGTATCAACGTTAGTAAAGATTTCGTCAACCTTAAAATGAAGAACTTGTCAATTGTTACTTCAGCTGGAATTGTAAATGGAGTGTCGGCTTTTTTATGGGAACTAGCGGAGTTGTTTGATAAACTTGAACAATGGGGAGATGCAACATTTATATATGAAACATATCTGGAGATAGTCACAAAAGATGAAGATATAGAGAAAGAAACGAACGTCATGAAGCGTCTGGTGCAAATATACGATGAAGAAGAGCGTTATTACTTAAGAAATTCGATGGAAGCCAAGTTACAAGAAATCATTAAGAAAAAGAACGAAAAAGGTAGAGAGTTTACACTAATGAGAAAGCTTTTTAGTAATCTGTTAATTGATTGTTTCCGTTTTACTTAACTTTAATTTTATATTTTTATCATTTTATTAACTGCCGTCATCAGAGTGGGAATACATTGGTGAATCTGTTAAACATAAAGAATTGTTCTTAAAACTGATTAAGTATGGACGAAATCCCAATGTCGAGGTCAAGCATGTAGACAATGTACGTGTGATAATCTCTGAGGAGTTTTGCATCGGTAGAGGAAGTGATGGAACCCGTGTTTATCTGGGACTGAAAAAGGATGGTTACGGCAGAGCAGTGAAACGAATACGTCGAGATAACTGCATCACTATTGCCCAGAAAGAAAAGGAAATCTTGAACAAATTCAACGCAAAAGAGTCGAAATATGTTGTGAAATATTACTACTTAGAAGAGGACACTGGAACAGACTATGTCTATTTGATACTAGACCTATGTGAAGAATCGTTAGAGAGTTTTGTGGAATCTTCTACATTGCAAGATCTTCAAAAATCTCTTCCCGAAATTCTCAGACAAATGTTAAAAGGATTAGCTGATCTTCACTGCGGCCCATGTTTTATTCTTCATCGGGATTTAAAGCCTTCCAATGTTCTCCGAGACGCACATGGTAAATTTCTGATTGCTGACTTTGGTATAAGTCGAGAATTGAAGGGTGGCCTTAAGACATATCATACTAGCTCCAAAAAGGGAACTCAGGATTGGATTGCTCCTGAATCATATTGTAAAGATAAAGATTCAGTTGATAAAGCACGTTACAAAAAAGAGTCAGATGTAATGGTAGGTGTAGAAATGTATCCTTTAGTAAATGACACATAAATTAAATTCTCGACAATTTATTCACGCTATCTGTTTGATCGATTTAGAACGCAGGAATGTTGGCTTATTATGTTGCAACAAAAGGGAAGCATCCTTTTGGGACTGAAGACTGTAGACTACAAAACTTGTTACATGGAAATCATGTTGGCTTGGACGAAATAAAGGATGCTGCTTTCCTAGACCTTTTGTTATGGATGCTACAACTAAAACCAGAAGACAGGCCATCAGCCAACGAGGCGTTAAAACATCCTTATTTACAATCCGATAAGGAGAAGTTTGACATGCTGTGTAATGTTGGGAATCAACCAGAGATAAAACCATCGAAAGGTCAAAATTCGCATGTTCGTAAGCAGTTGGATTGTCATTCGAAATGGATGGAGCTTATCGACGATGAAGTATTAGAAGATTTCAAAACCTTTAAAACAAATGGCAAAAAGAAAACTTTGACTTACAAGCCTACATGGGCAAGTTGTTTAAGATTCATTAGAAACGTGAATGAGCATTGGAAAGATAAGCCTCGTCCACATCTATCGCCATATGTTAAAGAAGGAAACTATAAAAAGTATTTTTTGCAACATTTTCCTGATCTTCCTCTTCGTGTGCATAAAATCATAAGGTCAACTGACTGGAAAACAAGAACTGATCTCGAGGAACATTTCACCTGTAAGCCATAAACATACTTTTCCTTTTTCAAAGACATTACTGAAATAGGCTTTCATGATGATATAAATATCCCCGATTTAATTTTGATGCTCACTCAATCTTTTACGGTAAATTAACAAATTTGGCTATAAAACAATTGCTTTCTTACTCTGCCAACTTTTTTTTTGGTTGTATTTTTATTCAGTGTGTTGTTAACACTCTATAATGTTTTCTCTCTCGACTTTCTACACTTTAAGCTGTACATAATAGTGACAATACCGTTGTGAACATTTTTTAGATACTGTGGATCATGTGAAAATTGAAGAAGTTAGTGGAAAGAAAAGCAAAGACGTCATGGACAATTTTGATGTTGATGGTAAATAAAGTTACAACAAACTAATGCTCACTGGAAGTTAATCACTCTCAAAATATAACTCTTGTCTACGACTTAGCATATATTATTTTAGGAATTGGTAAAATGATGTAAATTGATGAGAATCCACTTTGTAACAGTAAATAAAAGTCGATTATTCTAATATGAAAGGGTTGCCGTTTTCCTCTAATACACGCCTAGCCTCAATTACGCGTTTCCCTCCGGTGAACGCCCCTTCCGAATGCGGTTTTTATTATAGTAATTCCATGAAAATAAGAAAATATTCAACAATCCTATCGATAAATATGCGACAAATGTGTATTTGGAGAATTTTATATGGTGCCTTTCTGATGTCCATGTAGTCATTTTATTCTTTATACTAGCAAGAGTCGTTTAAGTTAGTCCTGTTTTTACGAGATTCGTGCAAAGTCTGAATGTAAGAGTGAGTAGCAATCTAGGAGGTCTGGGGGTGTATTGACTAATCATAACATCCTGCATGATAAATGTATAGCGTTTGTCAGTTTTTTCGAGTGACTTTCATTCGTTATGAAGGTTGAATTACTTTTCAAGATAGAGAAAACTATCAAAACGTGTCGTACGGTTAGCGATAGGCAAAAGTTAAAACTTGCCAAAAAAAGTTAAGATTTTTTGTTTATGTCTAAGCGACAAACAAATGATGATTTATCCTTCTTTCAAATAACATTTTTCTTGATAAAATCAATAAAAGCTATATTGTTGAATACAACTTAATTCTAGAACCCTTCATTTGCAACTGTTGCACTTTGTATTTTTTTTGTAGTGAAATTGATTTTATTACGGTCTGGTACCAATGATAATGGTTGAAACATTTCTGCTTGTAATTGCATTAGTTCAGATGCTAACATTAGTTAACTTTACATTAGTTAAAGTTTATAAGCGTTCAGAAAACTGCTATATATTTGACATAAACAGCTAACAGACGCTAACATTAGATAACTTTACATTAGTTAAAGTTTATAAGCGTTCAGAAAACTGCTATATATTTGACATAAACAGTTATGTAAATTGTGTGAATAAGACATATATAACAATTAAATGTCAAAGAAAATTCCTCTAAGTGGAAGCGAGGATATTATAATGTAAAATATGAAAGTTACTTTTAAGTTCTGTGAAAATATGTTGAACAACCTTTTCTTAAAACTAGAATCAAGAAGATGAAAAAAAACTCATTTGTAAAGGTATCACATTTCAAAGGTATTAAATATACCAGTAACGAGAGAAAAGTTTGCGTTATGAAGTTACAAGTGCATGCAACGAATTTATATGTGATCAATAGTATTGTCTGGGAGATTAATGATAAAATACCCTTGCTACCATCAACACAGCAGTCTTTATACAGAATACATTGTAGGAACATATAACCAATAGCTATTTTTTAAAGTTTCAGTAGCTAACTTTTCTACCAATCAAATTTGGTATAAATATGTTCAAATTAATCAAATACACTTTACAACATTTGTACTAGGCTATAATCAGTTAATCTTCGCTGTTTTCAGTTAAGTAAGCTATATTGATGTATAAATGGCTTAGTTTCTTGTTGTTCAAATTTACACTTTCCACGTGCAAAATTTACGCCTTTTAGATTTACCCACTATAGCGTTTGGAATTTAAAGTTTGATTTGTCGAGAAAATTTAACCAAGGGAAAGTGAAATTCATTCTAGTTAGCAAGGAAACCGAGTCAACTGAGTCCGAGTTAACTGGAGTAGATTAATATATATGTTGCAATGTCTGTTGATTTCAAAGAGAAACAGTTTTTTTCGTGCATCATGTGTAATGTACTAACAAGCAGCAAATCCAGAAGGAATTGACTTTGAGTTAGCGGAATTAAGGTTTGAGTTAAAGGAGCCAGTTGGAGTTCTCGTGGCTCTACTGAAGTACTGATTGTTGTATATCATTTGAGGAGACGTCTGAATCAATGAAGGTACTTATCTGTAGGATTGAAATAAATTTTTTGTCTTTGCAAATTCTTATTTTAAAAGGTTTTGCATTTTTCTATGATTAACGTTCACGAGAATATTAAAAAGAATAGACAATGCTAGCTCATCGTGGGCTCTCAATGACAGCGGTATCTGTTTCAAACATAAGTAGCAATCAGGAGATAAAACATGGCTGGTGAAAGAACGAGAAAATGAAGTATGTTCCCTTGTGTTTCAATCAATGGTTTCGATGCATGGCCTACATTTCCGGTGAGTCATGCTTTGTAAAACTAACTTTAAAGTTGTGTTTCTTCAAATATGCAGATAATTTACAGGCTTGTACTTATTTGCGTTTTATATGTTAACCTTTACAAAATTTCTCAAGTCCATCCCCCAAAGATTATTTCCAGCTGTGATCTTTTGAAATCTTTTCATTTTTTGGACAAATATGTATGTGACAAAGTGCATATCATTTGTATTATTTTCATGGTTCTATCAGACGTAAACTAAACGGCAAAGAAGTCAAATTTGATAATCAGGATCAGACAATCATTAGCAAGATTTGCAGACCTATTTTTGTTGAATTCCTGTCATGTTTAAAGAATGGTATGCTTATAAAACTCTAGATTGAATTTGGGAGTTATTTCAGTGCATTTAATAGCATGTTGAGAAATTTCATTGCGTCAGACGTTTGATTCTATCGCTAAAAACATGTCTATAATTATCTTCGTTATTTATCTCGACACGAATAAATCTTCAAATTATATTATTAACAATACTTACTGATTTTTTACTCATCCAGAAAGTATAGAAAAAATTTCAAATGTGCAGACTAAGACAATTGTTTTGAAATTTGTGTTTACATATAGCTGCGTTTTTACATATATGTAGAGTTAATTAATTTATAGATGGTAGGAGAACGGAGAGAGTTTTATAAATTAGCGTATGTTGCTGTCTATGACGAAAGGTATTAATTAAATGGCTGGAAGTGACACTGATCGAGCTACTGACAATTGTCCTATGTCGTACACTTTATTAAATCATAGATCATCCGGATTTGCCAGCAATTACAAAATTTGTACCTGACAAGTTTAGCTCTTTTACAGAATGCCAATTTTATCATTGCGTGCAAATACTGTAGGGGAGGATCGAGGATGCTGTTGTAAAGTATGTGTTTATATTAGTCACGCCTGACAAAGTATATTGCGTTTATTCGACGTTATATTTTTATGATTTACATCTCTAAAGTTATTTGATACAGTTATGCATCTTTAAAATATTATCAATGCAGCTTTCAACATGCACTTGAGATTTTAGTTCAACTGCTTCTTTCTTAAAACGAGACCTGGAAAGGCCAGGTTATATTTGGATGCCAATAGTTACGGAACTGATTGCTTTGTATTGAGTAGAAAATACATACTGTCTTGCTCTTGGTAGACGTTGATTTTATCAAAACTGTGCAAGTGTTGAAGACTGCCAATAATGAATTTCAATTTCAAATTTAAAAAATAAACATAGTCGAAGACTCAAAGTTACTGGTTTGTTAAATATGCCAAGTATACCCGAAGAGAATTTATAAAATCATTTATTCCCCTTATTATTATTCAGTTATGTATGTTATTATCTTACATAATTTAATGTCATATAATGAAATTTGTTTCCCACTATTGAAGATTCCAAATCAAGCTTTTGTTATTTATCTTATGTGTATATTGCAAGTAACTTGTTGTCCTGAAGAGCTAAAACGATAATGTGAACAAAATTCAATCCAAATAATAATATAAATTCGGGAGCGGTTAACTATAGTTTTTGCATACGTAGATCAGTTTGAAGAATTTCGAACTTTATCCAACATTGTCCAACATCATCAACATTTCTTTACATTTTATTGTATTGTATTATCATCACTGACTATCATACTCATGACTGAGTACAACAGACTATTTTCTTGTCCTTCATAAAATATATTTCATGTGCGTATGACGTTTTAAATTGATACTTCAAAAAATTTCTCTTATCTCACCCTGCCAAGAATCTCTACTTCCATTTGTAGTTGTCTGTATTGTTAACCTCATTTTAATCTACGACTAAATGCAAAACAGGTATTCGACATTCTTTGATCTGAAGAGAACGAAACCGGCAAAGAAGTCAAAGGTTGCAAGTTGTTCTCAACACTAAAAGATCGTCATATTTGTGGTAAGGCTTCCTTGTGGAATGCGCTTTTATAGGTTTGGGTGTGTTGTGAATGGGATTGGTGTTAATTTAATTAAAGTCCGTTGTTATAGTTCGGTCTCGTTGGTAGCGATATTTTTTTCGCAATGTATTTGTTTACGAAGTGAAATGTAAATTTTTAAAATTGATTTAAAAGCGATTTAAATTGGTGAACGAATAGGCAAAGTGTATTCACATGAAAGTTATCTTAGCAAGAGTGAATTTTACTTTTCAGACGAAGCAAAGTTTGAAGAAAATAATCCAATTTTTGGCTCAACATATTTTTTCGCAATCTATTTGTTTACGAAGTGAAATGTAAATTTTCAAATATGATTTAAAAGCGATGTAAATTGTTCTACGAGAAAGCAAAGTGTATTCTGATAAAAGTTATCATGGCAAGAATGAATTTTACTATACAGACGAAGCAAAGTTTGTAGAAAACAATCCAATTTTAGTCTCAACATCAAGTTGCATTTGGCCATTGGCCATTTTACAACCGAATTACTAAGCCTTAATGACCGAGAGCGAGGTCTTTACGAAGAAATAACGGACCGAGGTGTTTTTGTACAGACCGAGCCCGTAGGGCGAGGTTTGTACAAAAAGGCAGAGGTTATTAAGTGGATTATAGATGGCATTGTTTGACATGAAACGAAGCTTGCTTTCTTTCTCGTCCTTGCTTCTTTTTACGGGTTGATTTTCATTTTTCTAGTTTTCGTCCATAAAAAATAAACTCGTTTCAAATTGTATCGTCTAGATAGTTTAACTGTTTTCCAAGTGTTTTTCCTTCGAATCACATTCGTAAATGGTTTTTTGTTTCGTTTATTTTGCGTTTTGGTGTTTGCTTTAACAATGTCTGAACATGCCTTTAACTCTTTAACGATTGAGTTAACGAAATCTCTTGCTGTAATTGCTATTCACGTTTTTACTGTACGGTAGATTGAACAAAGAATGTCTCGCCAGCGTTTTTGGTTTGAGACTCTGTGGAGTGCGTTTTAAATCCACTGGAGATTGAGTTATCACGAAATTTTCCTGTCGGGATAAAATTGTAGATTGTAAATTTTTTCCGTTACCTCTACGTTCACGCTCTGCTTACACGCATATATTGTTTTCAATTGTATTTTTTAAGTTATTTATGTCGTTTTTTAGCTCAAGGCTTTCCATCAAAGAAAGTTTCCTGTTCATATGTAACTATCAATAGTCGGATTTAAAATACAGGCAGATCTGTTGATTACGAGAACAAATCCGGCATATACAGCAAACAACTAGTCGCTATGACTTTCTTGGAAGAGGGAAATTGTAATATGAATAATGGTGATTATGAAATGGCAATTGAACACTACGAAAGATGTTTGAATGTTGCTAACGAGAATAGCCTCAAAATGATGGCATATTTTAGTCTTGGTAACGCTTATACCCTCTCTAATAAACGGGAGGAAGGGATGAACTGTTTTAATCTTTGTTTAAATCTTTCTTCCAAAGTAGAAACTAAATATTTTCAACATAAAGTTTATCTTGGCCTGGGAAGTGTTCATTCTACCACTGCAAGATTAGAGGAAGCCATAAAGAAAGATGAAGTGGAATGTCTTTGCCATATTGCACTAGGAGGATTGAACAAGTCGCTTGGAAATTATGAGAAATCTTTGGAGCATTATAGAAAAGGATTCTCTTTTATTGATTGTGAACACCAAGAAGAAAAAATGCAACCTTCACAACGGAAAGAAAATCAACAAGGAAATCAACAAAAGCAAAATAAACGGTGTGAACGACCGCGACGACCAAGAAAAGTTGGTGGTATTAACGTTGGTAAAGATTTCCTTCAACATAACTTGAAGAACTTGTCAATTGTTACTTCAGCTGGAATTGTCGGTGGAGTGTTGGCTGTTTTATGGGAATTAGCAGAATTGTTTGATAAACTTGAACAATATAGGGAAGCAGCAGAAATTTATGAAATGTATCTGGAGATTGTCACAGAAGATGAAGATATGGCAAAACAAGAGAACGCTATGGAATATCTGATACAAATATACGATGAAGATGGACGTGATTTCTTAAAGAATTATATGACAACAAGATTACAAGAATTTCGTGAAAGAAAAAAGAACCAAGGTAAAAAATGCACATGATGCAAATTTGCTAACTAACAAATACTATAAATTTAAGGTTGAAGATTGAAAATATCTCCTTTGAAATTCACGTAAAACTTGTTCGCCGTGTTCAATGTTTAGCATGAATTCAATATGGGATCGAACTCTTTTTTAACGTTTATGCAAAGTAGCTATTAACTTTTCGTTTAGTTACAAAAACTAGTCTTAGCTTTTGTATTTCCATTTTGCAAAACAATACTCTCATGATATGAGTAAAAGATCTGGGTGAGATTTTCCGTTTAAGAGCTTTTTAGAGCCATTCTTATCAGAACTCATTGCTTAAATAAGTGGTCGTAATATGTTTATTTGTTGTTTTTGTAAGTTTTTTTTCCACAAATTGTATCTGCTATCTGAATCGTTGGTGCAATAGGGAAACTCGAGAACTGCTATTTATTTATTATTTGACTATTCAGCTACAATATATTACGCTCCATCTATAAATGGAATACTTTTACTTCTATTTCAGAACAGGTTATTTATGACATAATGGTTCCTTTTAGTACTTTTAACAGATTGTACATTCGCTATCCAATATCTCATTGTAATAGTCTATCTTTAACTACTTTTATGTATTTTATTGTTCCCATTCATTTCTAAACTTGATTTTTTCCCTTCACTTTCAGAATTGCAACTAAAAGAATGGAAATATAATGATCCATCGATAAAACACAAAGAATCGTTTTTAAAAATGATTGAGTATAGGCGAGATCCTAATGTAAAAGTTGAACTTTTAAACGATGTTCGAGTAATTTTCTCAGATGAATTTTGCATTGGCAAAGGAAGTGATGGAACCCGTGTTTATCTTGGACTGAGCAAGGATGGTTATGGAAAAGCAGTGAAACGAGTTCGTCGTGATAATACTTATTTAGCACAGCATGAAGAAAAAATTTTTAATGAAATCAATGCTAAGAAGTCGGATTATGTGGTAAATTATTATTGCTCGAGACAAGATACAGGAACAGAGTATGTCCATTTGATTCTCGATCTATGTGAAGAATCGTTGGAGGATTTTGTGCTATCCAAATCAAATAGTTTGGATTACCTTCAAAACATACTTCCCAACATTCTTAAACAAATTTTAAAAGGATTAGTTGATCTTCATAGCGATCCACGTCCCATTCTTCATCGAGATTTGAAACCTTCCAATGTTCTCCGAGACACACTAGGCAAATTTTTGATAGCCGATTTTGGTATTAGTCGAATTATGAAGAATGACTCTCAGACATATGTAAGCAATGCTAATAGGGGAACTCCGCATTGGATTGCCCCTGAATCTTATATTGTTGATAAAAAAATATTTGATAAAGCGCGTTACAAAACAAAGTCCGATGTAATGGTGGGTATTGGGTTGTTACTATTTGCAAATTGTACGTAAATTTAATTTTTACATTTTACGTACTCTGTTATGTTTAATTTATTTTAGAATGCAGGAATGGTGGCTTACTTTGTTGCAACAAAAGGAAAACATCCTTTTGGTACTAAAGTGTGCATACTTCAAAATTTGTTGGATGGAAAACCTGTTGGCTTGGAGGAAATTAGTAATGTCGAACTAAATGATCTTCTTTCATGGATGCTACAACATAAACCCGAACTCAGGCCATCTGCAAAGGAGGCGTTAAAACACCCTTATCTACTATCTGATAAAGAAAAATTTGACATGCTCTGTGAAGTTGGAAATCAACCGGAGATACAGATACCGCATTTAGATCATCCTCTCAGCTCAGATGTCCATGAGCAGTTAAATAGTCTCAACTATAGTCTCATTCTTGTATTTAATGATCATTTCAACAAGAAACTCTACGACCCTGCATGGTTAGGATGCTTAAGATTCATGCAAAACGTTGATCAGCATTGGCATGATGAGTATCGTACAAAACTGTCACCATATATCAAGGAAGACAACTATAAAGAGTATTTTGTATGGGTTTTACCAGAGCTTCCTCTTCTGGTGCACAGAATCATGAGGTTAAATGAATGGATCTTAAGATCTTATATGGAAAAATGTGTTCCTAGTAAGTTACAGCCATAGAAATAATTCTTCAGTTTTAAAGATATTGCTAAATTATATGCATTTTTCCTTGGTAACGTCGGAACATAATAGGGTTTTTTACTTGTTTGCAAAAGCAATTTTTTCTCGGGAATCGTAAAAACACTCTCTTTCCTTATAAATTCTTTGCATTGTTTGTCCGGAGCACTTGTAGCGCTTCTGTTTCTCCGGTTCAAAGAATGCAAAGTATAGCATATGCGGGTGAGAAATCTATGTAGGTTTTTTTATGCAATTGTTTAATGTAAATAGTAAATCCACTCCTTGATTCATGTGCATTTTTATCAAGCACGTGATCTTGCGCGTGACAAACATTTCACATGACTATAACATCCAGTTTAAGTAATAAATGAAGACGAATGATCAAAAAAAAAGAAAAGCTTGATTCAACGTATGAGAAGGAAAGGCTATTTCTAGCTATACTTATACACAAAAGAAGTTTTGACTGACTCTAACTTTTGATGACTTTCTAAAAACTGTGCTCTAACTATCGTGATTACGAAAAATGATCTCAAGTATCAAGTTTGGAGCTATCAACGATCCATTCTTAATCAAACTGCTGCCGCACGTTCCTATAACTTTGCCTTGATAAGAAACTACCCATTTTGATGTCAGATAAGAATACATTACTCAAATTGTTCACCAAATGAATACCTTCACACGTAAAAATTGATTAAAACATTAAGATCGAAAACATATTTCCACTTTAACAAAGAAGAAGTTGTGAATGACTCTAAATTTGAACTACATCTCAAAAACTACATCTTATTTGTTTCTTGATTGCATTGGCAGGAAACTCTCAGTAACTAGTGTGAGAATTGTGACTAGTTTACTTTTAAATATATACTCTATTTCGATATTGAGCACTTTTTATTCGCAATAATTTTACACTAAATTCAACTAGCTATAACTCTTTTTAGATACCATGAAGCCAGCAGATCTACAGGTGCTCAAAATGAATGTCAGAGACAGTTTAAAAGATCTAAATTTCAAAGAAAATAGTTTCATTCTGATAGCGAACAAAGTTTCTCAAGAGTACAGAGGCTCAAATATTTTGGCATTTTTAAAGAAGATACCTTGGATCGCAGTACTCGATTTGTTTGACTTAAAAACAGAAGAAGATGGCCTTTATTATATTGCAAATGAAACAAATGACCGTGCTAGACCAATAAAAAAAGATTTAAGCGACTTCAGTGATTCGAAAAAAAATGAAGAGCTCTTAAAAGTCGATACCGCTTGGATTACTCGTAGTAAAGAGTTACACGAGGAAAACTGGACAAAATGTTCGAAAGACTTGGTTTACAAAGCGTTAACAGCCTTTTGTGACTGCCCTACGGGTCATCCACATTGTGTTTTTTTGATAATGGGTGACACCAATTTGAAAGAAATGGCTTCTATTATCGAGGCATCGTTCAGCATTATTCATGCAAACGACACTCATAAGCATATCAGTGTCATACCAGAGAAAAAAGAAATTAGAGAAAAGTTGATAAAACTTTTAGATGATGACATTAATAAGGATATAAAGCCTTCATGCTCTGGTTTCGGAATTCCAATGAATCTTCTTAAAACTGTGGTTTTGGAGCTACTTGGAGCAGACGAACTCGAAGAGCCTGACACAACTGTGGAGCTACCGTTTATCCATGGTCATCATTGTCTTGCGCTCAATAAAAGGATTCAGTCGCTTACAGATTTGGAGATTTATCTACCACAACCTAGACTAAGTGATAATTTAGAAGATAAGAAAAAGGCAAAAGAAATTTTCTACAAAGGTAATGCTATCAGTCAAATGAATCTCTTTAATGAGGATGCAATTATTCGAACTCTGGAAACCAATCTGAGCAGTTGTGTTGAAGAAAGTTTGCAAAATTTGTCATCTCCTGATGAAAGGGAGGTTTTTGTCGATACAGTGACTTTGAAATATGAATCGGGCTCAGGAGCAACAACTCTTGGAAGGCAGATTTTATGGCAGAAAAGAGAAACTTACAGATGTGCTGTTGTGAAAAAGATAACGGAGACAACAGATTATCAAATCAACCAGTTGCACAAATTTCAATTTGAAACCTCTGACTTTGACCCTTTTCAAATTCCACCAGTTTTAGTTCTCGTTGACAACTTTCCTGAACAACTAGTGCACTGCTTAATCGACAAACTGATAAGGAGTAAAACCAAATGTCTTGTTCTAAATACAGCACCAGTCGACAAGCAAACAAATACTGAGGACGACAATTTAACCCTTGGAAAACTGGATGATACTGAAAAAAGGCAGGTGGGTGAGGCTCTTAATACCTTGCGAATTGAGCACATAACAAAGGCAGTCAAAGTTCTAAGCCGTGAACGAAGATTTGTGTGGCTTGGGTTGGAGCTTTTTGGACGCGAATATGCTGACATAGAAAAACGTTTAGCAAAACACATTGATCAAGTTCTATCGTCAATGGATCAACTGAATGATGCGTATCGGATGATTTTACATTTCTGCTGTTTGTTAGATTGCTACAAC